TAACAGTTCTGGTACTGCATCTTCATTTCTGTACTACCCCCTGTTCCATCAGTACAGTAATGAGAAGCCCTGGCAATTATCTGAGGTACTGCGACTTTCATTAGCAGCGTATCACATCTGGATGGAAACGTGGACCACAGTCTGTTGCCCAAATAATTACCTCCACTGCCACAGTGGCAGCTGAGATGAAACTGTGCAGCCTCTCACTATCTTCAGTTGGTATTCACAGAAAAAAATATCCTGACAGTATTCTGAGGAGTGTAATAAAGTATAAATAGATGCAATTCCTTTAGGCGAAATAATCCAGTAATTTGCTGGTGTTGTACAGTGTCGGTGTGCGCCCACGTGTTGCTGTGTTTCTGCTTAGCCAATCAGCGAGTGTCCAGCCTCTGTTACCACAGATGAATATTTCATTTAGTAGTCCAGCTGCTGCTCATCTGCAGGTCGCTCTCCTGAGGCCTCCTCAGGCTACATGGCCCAACAGCGTCATCACGGGAAATGTGTGTGTGTTCGTATGATATTAAAACATGCAAATACTGCAAAATCTATTAAGAGAATATGTTATGATTATTCTAACTAATGAAAATCATATTAATGCTGAAATATTGTACATAACTCTCTGATGGTACAGTGAATACTAAATGTTCCCAGCATACATTCATCTCACATTCATGGCTGCACACCAGTGAGTTTACAGGCTGTAGGATTCCCCCCCCCCCTCCCATCTCCATCTCTCTACGTCTCATCATCTCTCTCCCCTCTTCTTCTCCTGTTGGGAGGCTGCTCGCGGGCTGACGGGGGGTGACACTGACTCCTCTCGTAGCACATTAGTCTCTCAATCTGACACTCTTTCACGCTTTCTTCCCTTTTTTTTCACAGAAACATGAGAGCAAACAAGCATGCATGTGCTACTATATCTGTCCGTGGCCCATATAAGGAGCTATAGGAGTGGAGGCTCTCTTCTGCTACATGAGGATATGTGTATGGAGACTACAGCTGCATATTTAATTGATATTTCACAGAGATTTGACTAGTGCAATATCTAAATCACGGTAAGTGGAATATTTGGGTAAAGGTGTCATTTTAGAAAACAACTAAATAAGGTATTGAGTTGTTGAAGACAAACAGTATTCTACAGACTTAGGAAGCATACTTGTTTGTTACAGATCCTCTTGTAAAAATCATACCATGATGATGTCATTTGACAAAATGAGAATGTGAAAAACATAGATACAAAATGTTTAGAATCATACCGCAAATGAGCTTTCATTCAACATAATCCCTGTAGCTGCAAAATGAAAAACAGATAAATACTAAAAACTCAAAACTATGACTGCGGCTGAGGCACCAGATAGCAAATGCTATGCAGTTAATAAGTAATACAAACATTTATTTGCAGGCAATAATTATTTTGTATATTTAAATACTTTCAAAAGGTATAAACTGGTTTCACCTATCTTGATCTGTGGATTTCCATAAAATGGTAAAAGAAAAAAGATAATATTGAATGAACTACTTTCATTAACTTGTATACTATCACTTAATAATGATACATTTACTAGAAAAAAACAGCAAGAAAATCATTGTATTACTAGCTCCAATGGCTTGTGCAGCTCTAATGGAGACCGTATAGGAGTCAGGTGAGATAAAAGACCTCCTGTAGTCCAATTTCCTGTCTTATATTAGCTCCCTTTGTCATTCTTGATCCGAGGGGAATACATACATGCTGATAGGTTAGCAAATCCTCACTACTGTTTGTAAAAACAGAGCAAAGGAAGGGGGGACAATGAGGTCGGAATAGGAGAGTGATGAGTTTGAAATGGATAGAAGGAAGCAGGGTTAGAAAAATAGAGGCATTATAGAACTGGGTGGAAGAGGGGAAAGGGAATGAGAAGGCAGCGGGACAAAGAGAGGACAGATGAGCTCATTTTGTTCCCTTGCACCAGAGAACGAGCTCGCTCTGTTCCACACTGAACAATCGCTAGTGTTCCCTTGTGAGAGTTCGACAGTGATGGTAATGCCTCATTAAAAATACGAAGAGAGGCAGAACTCGGCTCGGAGTTTTGAGAACGAAAGCTGCAGAACATCTTTTCAAAAGCAGCGCCTCCATTAATTAATCTCCACAGATGGACACCGTGGCTTTTATCCAAGGTGCTGGGAGATATAGCTGTTACTTGTGCATGCATGGGAACACCATCAAAACATTTCAAAAACAGTGCGATCACAGGTCCGGAGAACTAATTGACGTCATTAAGCGAGGCCAAATGTTTGCCAAGTGGCTGAACTGCTGAGGAAATCAGGAGAGGTTATCAGAAACTGGCAATTATCAAAGCCTGAAGCAAAACACCATCTCAGGGGCAGCGCTGTGGACGTGAGGGTTAACATAGATCTGTTGAGTTTAGACTCTGAGACCAGAGAAGGCGGGAATGATAGAAATGATAAGAGAGGCAACTTTATAAACTGGGCACTTCATAATTCAAATATAAATGAAGTCACTATTACTAACCTCAAATGTTTTCTTAAAAAGGAATAATTCACCCTCAAAATAACGATATTATACATAAATGACTCATCATGGGTATCATTTGAAATGTATCGATTTCGATTCCGATACCGGTTCTGCTTATCGATTCCGGTTCTTATCGATTCCCCGTTTCGATTCCAAAATTGTAAAAGAAAGAGGTCAAACGTTTAGATAACAAAGATATCTTTATTCTTTTAAGCTTTAACTGACATTTTTACAAATAAAAAATATACATGCAATACAAATGTATTGCACAATAGCTGTGCTTTATTTTAACTCAGCTATGCCTGTGGCAAGCTATTAACAGGCATTACACTGTGCCTTGTCTTTTTCTTTTTTAGTGTAGTGGAGCCTCACTTTAGAGCGTTTACCGCGATCCATCTTTGGTGTTATGAAGTGACTGAGCTCGTGAACTGTCTACGGGAGGGTGGGGGGAGCCTCGCTGCGGGGCATCTGTGGACCTCTGTCGCCTGTCAGCGCAACTTACATGATGCCATTTTAAAAAATTAAGGGCGGAGCCGGCCGTCAACGGCCCGCTGACGGCCGGCCGCTCTGTGATTCTCCAGAACACACAGATGGCCAGTCCGCCCTTACCATGTATTCCACCGCGGCACCGCAGCGCAGACGGACCCAGTGGAATACAGGGTCTACCGCGTTTAGGAACCGTTAAGCAGAACCGAAATTGTGTATTTTGTATGGGTACCCGGTACCCGGCATTTTCTTATCGGTTCTCATCTGGAACCGAGCTTCGGTTCCCAACCCTACTCATCATACACACTTTTAACTCCTAAAGGAACGTTATGGAAAAGTCTTAAAAACAGCATGACTACATCAAGAAAGGTTATGCGTGCTACACACTTTTCTGAGGATTGTTAAAGAACATGGCAAGTGTTTGAAATAGCAACATTTATAACAAAAATGCATTGTTTAGGCAGTAGTGAGCAAACGAGTGGATTTATAAGATAATACTGTACGAGTGTTCTGAGAGTTGGAAAAACAGATGCTCTGATTTAGTTTTGCTGTTGTTAAACATTCCTCCCAATTACTTCAATATACCAAACCTGTATCTGTTTTTAGATTCTTCTTTGAACATGGAGGCATTCAAGGATAAAAAATGCTTCACAAATTCAAGTAACACAAGGTGAATTACTGATTACAAATTTGGTAATTTTGCGGGTGACGTGTTCCTGTAAGCTTAAGGCCCAGACACACCAAGCTGACACCAAAGAACTGACACAGACGGACCCCCGACTGTTGTGTCGCCTCGCGTCTCTGCGTCTTGGCCATGTGTCGCACTGGAACACACCGCAAAGACTTCAGCTGACGGCCAAGAAGCACGTACAAACTGCCCATGCGTGAGTGGCAATAACTCTCCTTACCAGCAGGCGGCAGTAGTGTGTATTCGTCATTCAAAAGAGGCAACAACCGGAAGACAGACTGCGTGATAACCGAGAGAAGAAGAACAGACTGCGTGATATAAACAAACAACAAATAGCGTGTGCGTTCCATTTTCACTCTACAGCAAGAAGCTCATGGGGCTTTCCCGAACCTGTGTCGAGAGCTGGAGTTAAATGAAATCTCAGATTTGCCTTCTTAATAGTTTGTTTGGGTCCCTCACTTCCGTTTTGCTTCTCATGCACTGATTCGCTAGCTGAACAGCCAATCAGAGCGATTTATTTTGCCGACAGCCTTTGGCCGACTGCCCACGGCTGAAAAGACACGACGGTGCGGGACACACCAATCTGAGTAGGGCGTGCCAAAATTGGCTTGGTGTGTCCGGGCCTTTACTCTTTCATTCAATTCAGTAGAATGAAAAACCTAAAAAAAGGCCAACAGCTGTTTGAGCTGAAGAAAAATCATCTATTTGAATAGATTGTATGAATCCTTACTTGTAAAAAGGGTTATTTGACCTTATATCTTGGGTAAGTCAAAGGTACCTAATGGCACCATACCCCTTGCTATAAAACAGCATATGGCATATGTTTATTACCAAGAGGAAAGCACAAGCAGTTAGCTGCTGTGCTTGCACTCTGCACGCTTTATTAGGGATGCTTCAGGTGACAAACCTTCCTTGTTGACAAAGGTTTGTGACTTAGTAAGCTGTTTTGTTGCGATCTGTATATATCAGGTTTTTATTTCCAAGCCCTTATGGGCAATGTTAAGCAAATACATTCTTAATTCAGCATACAAACTCTAGCAACAACTCTCTTAATAATCAAATGTGCCATGGCATGAAACGACAGAGGACATGAGATTCCTCCTGTATTACAAAAAACCGACAGAGGGAAAACACATTACAAGTGACAGATTGGAGATTCAGGATTCACTTCTTTTCACGAAAAAAACACTCACATGTCAACAGCGACCTGAATAACCAGCGGTCAGGCAGAGAGAGAGGCACCAAAAAAGACATATGAAGAAATCAAGCACACACAAACACACACCGGCATCAACACAACACACACACACACCGTACCTGTCATTGTCAACGCTCCTGAAGCCAGGCAGGATGTGTCTGAAGCTGGAGTTTCGGTCCAGTTTGGGTTGACTCTTGGTGCGTTTTATGGAGCCCTTCAGCCGGCGACTGAGGAAGCCCTGATGGAGAGAGACACATACAGTCAATAAAGTGAGTCTCTGCTACTTTGTGAGGTCAATCTCAGAGATGCCAATCATCAAGATCATGAGTGAGACAGGACTTATTAATACTGACATTGTGATCCATGTCCTAAATCCAGGGTGTCATGAACAGTAAATGAGTAATAAATGAGTATGGATCTTCACATCAGGGTGATGTTTACAGCCTGGAGGACAATGTCTAACACAATGTATTCCCTAAATACAGAGACATTGCAAACACATTCAATAAGATCTTGACAACAGAGTGGTGTAATGGTGATGCATTTTTCTAAGATGACCCCTGAAGTTGGCATGCCAAGGTTTCCTTGAAAAGAAATGAACAGGAAGTTTGGAGAAAATAAGATCTTTGGTGAACACACGTTTATGATAGTTACAGGTTTTAGTTAACAGGATAATCTCCTCATATGTACACTACTTTAGGATTTTTTCAGCATGAATGCAATCCCTAGAATTAAAGAGATAACGTAACGCTATAGACAAACTACATCACGCTCACATGACTTCACATCACCACCGCTAAGCTAAAGGCGGCGAACGTTCAGCTTGATGATATTTTGTAGTCTCATTTAATCCCCTATTAGCAACCACCTATTTTACGAAACCTAAAAGCTTTAGACATTTCGCAACGTGTGTTTGCTGACGTATTTTACACGTAGAAAGAAACTTGAAAATTGGGTTAACTAGAACAAACCACAAGCCTTATTTCAGGCATTTAACCAAAAACTCACTAAAAAAACATTGACTTTGAGACGAGGGAGCCTGGAAGTGCTAAAATGCTGACTCATTTCCCGGTGTAGGACTTATTCCTGCACCGCTCTATAGAAGATTCCCAAAGAGCATACACATAATTAGCTGATAGGTAATATTTATGCAGAAATTAGGGATTGTTTCCCACTGCGGTAATTATGTCAACATTCAACAAATTACAGCGCTCAAACATCTGTGTTTTTATACCAGATACACCCCTTTATTTGTTGTTTTGTCATTCCTTTCTTTGTCTGGGTGTTTACTTCTTCTAACATCTGCTATCACACTCCCCCAAGCACTTCGCCGTCTCCATGGCAACTGTGGCTGGCATTAAGAGCGAAGGAATAAGAACGAATGAGATGTGGTGCAGAAACGGCAGGCTGTGGCGAGTTTTTAGATAAGAAAAGATAAGAACATTTTATTTTTTTCTGCTTTATTTTCAAAGAATTCACTGCTGAGAAAGAGCTCAGGAGGATGAAGAGGATGAACGAAGGTATTTGAATAAAGAGGGTGAAGAAAAGAGTTGATGGAGTAGCTTCAGCACGAAGAATTGTACAACTCAGCATGCTGGAGAAATAACTAAACTAGAAAGCATTTAGGCTCAGGTGTAGCTTTTTTTATTAAAATAACACAACATAGCAGCGTAGACAGTCTGAACACATTCATAATATAACCTCAGAGACATAGCTGCAGCACTGAGACCTCTAATGGCACACACACCTCACAAGGAGGGCTGGAACACACACCGTGATCAGACCTCCCCTCAGTCCCAGTCATGCCATAAACACACCTGTATAATTACCACCTACAGTGTGAAGAGGTCGCCCAGGGCAACAGTGGTAAAGGGATAATTAGAGAGTGACTTGTAGACAGCCTGCCAGCTGATCACAGAGCAGCCACTGCATCCTGATAAACAACACCTGTCATCAGTGAAACACTCTGGGAGAAGAACAAAGAGTCGCTGATGTCAGAATACAGGCGTCGTCAATCATGGGAGGGTCTCTGCCGCGTCAGTGACAATTCTGTGTGTCCAGACATAACTATTTCAAAAGTATTTAGTGTGTTCAAACTGGAAAACTGATAATATTGAATACATTTAAATGTACATAATATTATATTTCAAGTTAGCTGTTTTCATGTATAATAAAAATGTATATTACATATTTTATTGATGCCTTTAAATGCAGTCTTTCATATACACATTCGAGAACATTTAGAGGCACTTTTTTGTGTATATATCCAAGTCTTTGATAAAAGTGCCATGTTTAAAAGTAGTTTCTCATTCTGAGCAGAAATGTGGGCTTGTTTTTTTTTATATCCGAGAATCGATCTCTTCTTTGTTTGTCTAATACAAATATCAGAATATGCAATTGTTACTGGGAAATGGGAATGGTTACTCACTTACGCTAAACATTTAAACTAGCTGCTGACGGTAGTGAAAAAGCTTGAGGAAAGTCTTGGAAAACAAGCACTAATAAAAGGAGAGTTTCTACACAGAAGATAAGGAAGAACACTCAGCCGGTGGAAACAGTAGTTCTTCTGAGGCTCTGCAGGGAGCTTTCAAAAGTCTAACAAATACCTCAGTTTTGGTTTAAAAGCTTCAAATTTATAACAGAAGGACTGCATTTAAATGTGGACGTGGAGTTTGAAAGACGTTAGAATATCCAAGGCAAGGAAAGTCTATAAAAAGATGCTACTGAGGTCAAAGTCTACCAATGTATTGGACTGCAACAACTGTATAATAATAAGTTGACATTGAAGCATGAAAAAAAGGCCAAAGCTAGTGTTGATGGATTTGTTAATTATGCATTTTCGTTATTGTCACAACAAACTAACCAATTGTTGCCTTTGTAATCATCAACAATGGCAGTTACGCACACTCGATATGGATCTGACCGTGGTGATAATAATGATAGATATTTATAGATCTGACATGGTATACTTCAAGTGAGACCACCGAGAATAGGCAGAAAATGACTTCCAATTGTTACCTGCCATCAGCGAAGTGTGTGCGGGAGCTTTGAGCTGAATAACAGGCTGAGTCACTGCTGCACCTGAGGCTCTGCTGCTTTCTCAATCAAACTCTCATTCTCTGTTTCTTCCCCTCAGCCATTATCCACTCCATATGTGGATGTGTGGGCGCATGTGGTTAGATTAGCATAAGCACCATTCTAAACAATGACAAAATATGAGTCAGAGTCTGTGCAGAAGGAATATTGTTTTTACCTCAACTGCATTTAGTATCCCCTCCAGACCAGAGCCTTCAAAATCACATGAGGAAAAGACTCAAGGGGAGGCAAAGGATTGTGATTTTTTTGATGGAGCAGTATAAAACCGACACGATGACACGCACCTTTTATCATTTCTGGATATCAATCACAATCCCCTCCACATTTAGGGTAGTTTCATGTCATTTCCTCTCTCTGCAGAGTGTGTGCCTGCTGCTGCTGCTGGCATATTCACAGCTTTCCATCCGTGGAAATAAGTCGGTGAATAGAAACCTGTCCCTGTAGGCGAGGTGAATTGATTAGTGGCTGTTCTGTTTTTACTTCTATGCTTCCCCTGATGGATGGACTTTTTTAGAAGGGATGGAGCAAATCGAGAGTATAAAAAGCCCAAGTCAGAAAAATACACTCCTTATAACTTCTCATCATATTTTGCGTTCTTCGTTCTCGCTTAGTGCAGCGATGCAATGTTATATAACACCCCTCTCTAATTCACTTAGAATTGTAAAGCCCTCACAGAGCTGTTGCACAGGTTAAAGGTCAGAATATTTAAACTTCTTATTTCAACACTTACAATCAGTCAGTAAGGATGAGTGACGCCTACATTAACGTCAGATTATACCCCACGGGAGGCAAGACACTCTAGAAGCGCTAAAGTGTTTGCATTTAATTTGTCTTCAGCGCCTGTTCGTGAGAGATGAGTGAGAGGGCAAGAGAAAAAAATATATATATATGCGGGATGAAATAGAGAGAGGACAGAAATAGAGGTGAGACTATAGTGAAAAAACGGACTTAAAGGACAGTGAGTGATTTCCAGAGACGGATGAGCTATGATAGAAGGACACGTGGAGAAGGGGCGCACAATGAGGGGACGGCAGAGCGTGAGCTGATAGAAAAAGCAATAGAATGAAAGTAAATGAGGGGGAAAGTGAGGAGAAAATGAGTGACATGGTGGCCGTGGATCAGGGCTCAGCACGTCACAGACATTGAGACTATGGAGTGAAGGTTGTTCCTCCCTGTGGGTTTCGTTCTGATCAGTCCTCGTCTTTGAAATGTGCGTCAATATGACACTAGTTATTACATAATACATTTTCAGGCACAAAATATGAATCATCTAATAACCACATTCAAGAGTAGGCTAAACACTTTTCTTTTTAATAAAGCCTATAGTTAGGGCTGTTTTCAGGCTTCCAGAACTCCTGGGTCCTACCTTTTATGGTATTTTTTTGTTTTTATGAAATTGTATTTTGTTTCACAATTTGTTTTATGTGCATTTGGTTTGATTTGATTCATGAATAAACATATAATGATTAGGTTAAGATATCCAGCAGTATTTTTCTTCTTCATTAGCTGCAATTTTACCATTCAAGACAGCTTAATGCACCAATAATCATATTCCAGTCATTTCATATATTGTTTTGCAATGGTCCATTACAGATGATGAGCACTTTGGGTTTTGGTACTTTAATTGTATTTTGATCACAACACTAACACTTTAGTTTTGTTACTATATCTGAGTGCTCCTTCCACCACTGTGAAAACACAGTGTTAACACCTTGATGTCTCCACATTACGTCTTGCTGTATTCGATGAGTTCTTACAGCTGACAAGGCCAGTAACTGCTAACATACACAAATGGCATCTAATGAGATGTAATATACGTCACATCACTGTTATATTGTATTCTAAGGAAATGTGTAAAATCGACTTATGGGAATATGATTTCCCTGTGAGCTTGGTTAAATAATATTAATGTCAATTATTGACTCCAGGACATGAATACAGACCCCTTGGACAAATGTTTCCAGTTAGTCTAACATACATTGGTCTTGCTCTAATGTCTCTCAATTTACATTTCAGTTTTTTTTTTTACATAGAGACATGTTAAGGCTATTACAGCCAGTGCAACCTGACAGGGGTCCAACACAGTGTCACATATTAGCATGCATTGAGCTCTTTAATAATTCCACATTTCCACGGTTGACAGCTAATTAGCTGAAGGAGGGGATGGATTCATCTGACTCAACATGCATCCTCCATGGGGAGGAGGGGCTGGTTTGCGCCAACCCTCGATAAGTCTAAATGGAATTTCATGGTAGTGGAAATAGAGTCTCAGTGTTTACTATGTTACCGTGTTTACAGTGCAGATCTGTGTATTTGAGAGAGTGCAGAACAGGCTTGCATACTTGATTGTAATCTCAGCCTGTCCAAGCCCATTAACTGAGCACTGAGAGGACAACTCCATTTTATTGCTGTGCTTTTTTTCATGAAATTAAAGCAAATGCAACAAGTTAATTCTATTCCCTTGGTTTGGCAATTCCCGGCTTCCCTAATGGGCTCTGATAGAATCTGTGCCTGGACAATCAGCGGGGTGTTCCCTGCTGCTACATCAACCTCTCTGTCCTCCTCTAGCACAACCTGATGAAAACAAGAGACATACCTGTCCAATTAGACCCCCTGCTAGTATCTGAGAGGAGAGGGGGGGAATAAAGTCAGGGGGAGATTGGACAAGGAGCTAAGGCACAATTGAGAATCAATCCAGCCAGCGGGGGCAATCAGCGGGACGAGGACGTGACGGACTGAGATAAGGTTTGTTTGTCCTCTCTTTAAACAGCCACTGAATAAGAGAAACTAGCAAGTAGTAACTTTTTATACTTGATGTATGCACTTTCCTAATATTTCTGAATTGGCTGTGGAAGATAAGGCTTTGGGGAGGTTTTAGTTTTCTCCAATGCCTACTGGGGAGAAAATGGTTTTGGAGAAGTGTTCCAGGCTGGGCTTCTGTGTGAGTGTGTGAGTGTGAACGTGGCTTTCAATTGTGAGTGCACACATTCAACCCAGTCTCTTCAAAAAACATGAGAGAAAAGCATTTTGACAGATTTAGCTCAAGGCCTAGGAGGGGTACTTTAGATGTCACCGCAACTCTTTTCACTGAAGGGAGAAAAGTGAGAAGCGAGGAGGAGGAGAAACCCACCGACTGCCTGCCCACATGTGTGTGTGCCACCATGACTGAACCTTATCCATCTACATACACACATCTATTGTGTCTATATACTACAAGTGTTTATTTTTTATATTCCTTGTCATTTAACTGACACTTTTATCCAAAGCAATTTTTGGGGTTGACTAACCACTGACCCTCTGATGGGTAGACACCAGTGGTGTAAAGTAATTAAGTACATTTACTCAAGTACTGCTGGTAAAGAAGCCCTATACAAAAACCAAAGTAAATAATGAATTATGGTGTCTATTATGGATGGAGATCACGGGCAGTATACAAATGAATGGGTCTCTTTTCCAGCTGCAAAATTAATTATCCAACGCATTAATGGATCATTAATTATAATCCAATAATAAAATACATATTATTCTGAAATTGGCTACTTAAAAGTACTTTAGATTTGGTACTTGTGTATATTTTGCTGCTAATACTTGTACTTTTACCTGAGTAAAATCTTGAAAGCAGGACTTTTACTCGAACAGAATATTTCTACACTACGGTATTATTACTTTCACTTTAGTATAAGATCTGAATACCTCTTCGACCATTGGTAGACCCCAATTACCCCTGAGCCACAGCCGCCCCTTTCAATTTGATCTATCTACACCTCTCTTACCTATCCTTAAAATGTATTCATTCAAGCAGAACATTTACATCTCTTTAATAAAAGTTCATTTTAAAAAGTTGCCTGGTCGGCTGTGCTGCCTCTAGAGACCAGAAGGGGGCAGTATGAGGAAAAGTGCAGCAAAGGGTCAAACACTGTCTGGGGAAGGTTTCATGTGCAAACACTCACTGCTGCTTAGCAATAAGCCATCAGAGTAAATGAAGTGGTCATGTGATTGGGACAGGATGACTTTGCTGCAGTGCTCTCTCTCTCTCTTCCTCAGGAGGGTACTGCATGTGAGACACTTAATCAATATTTAGCCTCCACTATTGACCCTTTCTGTCTCCTGCAAGCTTTTTATTCACCTTCTATATCTACTCATTGATTCCTGGTCATATCAAAGTAAAACAGTTCAATGACTCAATTCACATTCACAAGACAAGAGCAGACGCATCCATACATGCACACACTCCCTTGCAACGCTATCTTCACTGTTTTATCTAGACCAATGAGAGTTTGGCAATCTCTGCCTCATCAAGCTGAGGTGATTTTACATTTGCACCTTCTAAAATTGTTTCGTGACACACTTTATTCCCACTCCGCAGGTGGTCCAACACCAGCGGGTCTCGCCTATTTGTTAATTTATTCACTGTGAGCTTTTACTTTCCCAATGTTGTTTTTTTTGTTGAGACTGCCTCTTAATAAAACTGAGTGCTGAAGATGGCTGATAGAAAAGAAGAAAGAAATGACACCTTTCAGAAATATTGCAATGCCTTTTAACACTCAACATGGCCCATTAGTATACCTGCTAGAGCTTCACAAAGGCTGAAAGTGCAGAGTGCTTTTGGCCCTTCTGGCCCAGCATCCACTGTTTACAGTTCACCTCCGGGTCGTCATCTCCCCACTCGTTATTTATTAATGGAAATGTGCACAGCTAATTGCTAATTAGCTTGAAATTGATGACTCACAGCGGATTATTATTTTTTTGCTTCATTAACTGGCTGTTTATCTATTGAATTAAACATGGCAGCAAGCATGCCGGATTTGATTTAGAGCCAGATGAAGACTGCTCTGTGGGAGAGTGTCTGTGTTTGTGTGTGTAGTTTCCCTCTAAGTGAGTGAATGTGTTGTGCGTGCAGGTGCTGGTTTGGGAGTGTGTGTACAAGTTATTCAGTGTGAAATGCAATGGAAAATCACACAGGAAGTAAAAAGGCAGCAGAGGATGGTGTGCTGAACATAAACCCAAGATGTGTAGATGTGTGAAGTGTATACGCCAAACATCAAAGGCCCCATTCCAACATTTGAAGTAAATTTGTTTCAGATTGGCACGAGTCCATCTGGACACCAGAGCAGCCTTCTGTACACACTGATGTACAGCTAAGAGCTTCTTAAGGCAAAGTAAGGAGGAGAAAAGTCAGAGGCATGCTTGGCACACCACTAAGTGCCGCTGAGGTAACCATGTAACCAATCTAAAATAACCTGCACTAAACATTCACCCACACTGCTGCCTGCACATTTAAATGTATTGATTAACCTTTATACATATCTGTGTATATGCACATCCACCTATATAACTTCTGTGATGATTTGGGGCTATAGAAATCATATTTCATTAGCACAGAAGACAGGGACGATACACAGAAACACACTCACAGTACTCACGGTGACTCTGAAAGGCGTGGCAGCAGTGGACGTAGCCTCCATGGTGGGGGGGTTCTTGTCTGAGGAGCTGCCGGGCATGCTGCGTCGGCGTCCTGACCTCTCTGGAGGAGACTCTGCAAACAGACACAGAAATGTTTCCCAATTAAAAGACCAATTTCAATTTGTTGACAATTTGTTAAATACACCGATTGCTTTCTTGCCGAGAGTTACGTAAGAAGATCGATAGCAAAACTGAGCTACACTGAATCAACACATTTCTTTGAGTGTTGAGCAAGAGGAAGAATCTTGGGTCTTCCAATGGACATGGACTGATGCAAGAGAACGTTTTGATGTGGGTGAAACATATTTCACCATGACAAACTAGAACCTTAGCCTACGGTGTCTAAAACATTCATCATGTGCTGGCGTAGTAAGAGATCAAAGGTATATGTTGTATCAGAAGGTGCAAAAAGAAGATATTGAGGTTGCATCATATTAAAGGTAACTTTATTAAATGAAATAAACCTTCACTATATCCTGACAGTAGTGCGTTAGATAAATCATGTGTCCTCCCCGAATGCTCCTAGTATTTGCCTGCAGCAGAGTGGGCGGAGCTTAGTTTGAGCCTTACTGTTTTTAACATCTTAAGGCCGCTACACACCCACCTGAGACCAAAGAACGCGTACCGAAGGCGTCCCGACTTTTACGTCAGCTACGTCGCCTGCGTCGGCTACGCCGCCCGCTACGCCGCCCGCCTACGAACACACCGCAAATACTTCAGTCGACGAGTGGCAATAACTGTCCTTACCAGCAGGCAGCGGTAGTGTGAACAGCCAATCAGAGTGATTGCTTGGGCCGACTTTCTCTGACCTCCCGCGGCCGATTCCGCTGTAGGTGTGAAAAGGTGCCGTAAAGAGACGACGGTGCGGGACACACCAACCTGAGTAGGGCGCCGCGAATGCCCGACTGCCTCTGACGGCCTCTGACTCCCAAAATCGGGTTGGTGTGTAGCCAGCTTAACATCACCTTCTCTCTCATTTAAACATCTAAACAGGAAACTAAAGTATGGTTTTACAGATACCCCGTCTCACGTATTTCTGTCAGGATATACTGACAGTTTTAGCAGATATGACAGTTATTTTTAATAAAGTTACTAACTAACGGCTTTAACTTTGCACACTTTCAGATGACCCATTCCTCCATGAATTCAGCAACGAGTCCATTCCATTGCTGATATTCCCATCCTTTCCCTGTTTACTGAACTCATCTGTTATCTTTTTAGTGTGAAAGAGTTGTGAAACAGAGAAGTAAAGGAATGAGGATGTGTACGGCAGCAGCAAATCTGGACACGTCCAGGAGGAATGCGAGTGATGCTGAACATACACGTCCCCACAGATTTCAGATAGCCCTCACCGCTAACAGCTACAGAGCAAACCATCAACAAGGTACTCATTTGGTGAACTTTTATAACCCCACATGATTAGACCAGTTAGTCAGACCATTATGTCCCGTACATAGCTGCAAGTTTGAGCACAAAACATTCTAACGTGTCACGGTTGAGTTTTCAACAGTGAAGACTCCGGCTAGGTGAGCCGAATTTATAAAGGATACTCTAAGATATATTGCATTTCATAAAACATAAATTAAGAAGCCTCAAACTTGCGTATAACTGGGTCAGATATGCTGATCAATTATTTGAAACACATTGGGTCTTTCCACCACTGAGACTCTGTTAGATTATTTAAATAGATATTTGACTGGAGGCAACATTGGGAACTAATTATATTAGTGTTAATTGTGTGGCAGGGAGACTTTAATACAATTATGAAGCAAATCTTCCTCTTCTCTCTCGCACACGTTCACACTACACATTTTATTGTGGACTCCTGCAGTTGCTTATCCAATCATCTCCAGATTTTGTTTGCAACATCAGTGGACTTCCAACACTTCATCATACCTTGGTATCTTCACTAAGATTAGTCAAAAATGTTCATCGGACCTGAAACCAAATCTTTGAATCCCAAAATGTGATAAGATTTGGCCTATATGTGACATTAGAGTACCAAGCTAGACAGCATTGGGACAACAACATTTTAGTTTTAAACTTTGGAATTATACTACTAGACAAAGGAGGGAGGCGGGCATCTTTGAGAAAAAGTGAACTGCAGTGAACGAGTAATGATCTGCAATGATATTACAGATAACATTTTCTCATAGAGCATCTGTAATAGGCCACACACAATTGTTTGTCAGCTCTCGTTGTTTCTATGAGCTCATGAAGCTGAGCTGAGCTAAATTAGCTGTCTGCTGTTTAACAGGCTGGTTAACTGAATTAGCACATACTGTAATTGAGGAACGAATGGTGGAATAGCACTTCCTGGTGTGCCGAGCACTGGCTGGCATCCCAGCCCCCATAATTCAAATTTTAACATAAACATAAACACAGTCCACGACAACAAACGGCAGACGAACACAACATGCTCTGACACTGAGCAGATGTCCCAGAATCCAATTTCTATAATTAAGAATCGGAACCATCTGGATCCTCTGAGCAGTGATCCAAGCTCTGGAGGTAAGCAGGGTTTTATTCACAGGGACTTGTTAAGCCTGGCCTGGGTTCAGTGTTCGAGGGGTGAGACATTTGAGGTGCCATGTGGTAAATACTTGTGTGTGCTGCTCTTGCTCTTTTACATATCATGTATTTATTTTTTGCTATGTTTACAAATGTCTTGTTCTTATATGTTGTATGTCAGGGACTACGGATGGAAATGAGCTCAAAGCTCAAATCCGGCATATTTACACTACGCATTATTTGTCTAAAGTGTTCATTAATGTACATTGTCCTTATTCAAATAAACGATTACATGAAAAAAATGAAGAGAGAAGATCTCTGCATTCTCCTCATTTCACACCAGTATCAGAACTCATAGGGAGACAAAACGTAGGAGGTGCCTGATAAAAGGGGAGGTTCAAGTCAAACCTCAAATAAGCTAAACAAAGTCTCCATAACAAAGTAACAGCTAATGCATCCATTTCAACATATTCGTGTTCAAGAGTCCTTATTATGCTTCTTTTTTTTTTTTTTGCTTAGTCTGTTAAAATCCCAAAGTGTCTCCCCCCTGCCTGAAACGCCTCCATTGGACTCCCTTGTTTACTTATGTAACATAGTGACATCACTATGTAACCCTCGCGCTTCTATTGGCTAGTGCTCCTAACACATTGCACGTGATAGGCTAAGGGGCGGGACATTTTTAAGCGATTGAACAATCACAACAGAGCCGGCCAGCTAACCAATCAGAGCAGACTGAGCTCTGGTTTCAGACAGAGGGTGAAAAGAGGTCCTGCAGCACAGGCAGTATGAGAAAAATAAAGACCTTTTTCAACATTAAAGCATGGAGACAGTAGAAGCAAACAATTCTAATCTGAAGATAAAACTGAGCATAATCTCAAATCAAGTATTTAGGGTGTAAAGTCTCGGATAGTTTAAATCTCACAGCAGTCAAATCTGTCAAAAGGAGTTTTAACAACTTTTTGTAGTTTGTTGTATCAGAGTGATTTAGGTATGACGCATTCTAGAAGGCGGACCCTATTGATAGCATCACCATGGTTCCCTTGACAAACAGCCATTGGGACTAAATGATGATGAGGAAATGTAATCATGGGGAAGTGGGCACATCAAAACCTGCTCAATCCATTATAATGGCGTGACAAATATCTGTCTCCCTTCCTTATTATAGCAAACCATAATGGTGGAATTTAAAAGTCTGCTGCCATGACAACAAGGGTATTTAATCCTTTTAAATCAGAAAATAAGTCACAAATAAATAGGGATGATAAGGTAATCACAAATGTTGACTGAATTAAGTCTCCAGTGTGTATTGATGTGCTCCTGTAGAAAACGATCCCACTCAACTTCACCAAATGTACCCCTTTGGTGTTCTTAACGGAAGTCTCCTCACTCGTACACAGCTGGCTGTTACAAGCGCTCAGAGGAAAGCTCACACGCAAACCCACAGTATTTAGCTGTGAACTAATTGCTGTGTGAAATTGCAGTGCGTGCTTCCACATGTTATCACCATCTGCGTGTTGCTTCTCTTCAAATGAATGGAACATTTCCATTTGCCTTATCTGTCCCGTGTCTCTCTGATTCTCTCATTTTATAACCAACAGCAAACTGTAAACTTGTGTTTAATAAAAACTTTAATTAAAACAAATTCCAAACTGAAGTAAATAATCAAAGAGACGTTTTACACTGCGGCTGCTTTCAGATAGTAAACAGGCGCTGTTTAGAGGGGTCTGTTTAGCGGATGTGCGCCAAGATATTTTTGTATCTTGAGGTGAGGGAGCATCTAGCATGCAAATCTCGAGTTCTAAGGTCGATAGGGTCAAAGACCATAGCTGTAGTGTCAAGAGGTGAGCTATCTTTAAACTACGAGGCCTGGAGGTCTTTTAGGCCACACTCAGTGTATTATATTCACTTTAGAGCTTCTGTCGGCTGGGAAAGCTCCTTGCATAATTGTCTTGAAACATGGTTGAATGGTGAAGCATTGGCCAGTTGGAGTGGATTTTAAAACTTCACAATTCCACTTTCTTCCCTCAAATGAATTTTCTTTTCAAACCACCCTGAATCTTCTCATTCAATCACAACTTCATCTCAACTTAAGGTCAGCGTTTGGTCAGTTGTTACCCCTTCATTTCTCCTCACTTGCTGTTATTCTCCATCCTTCACATTCCCTCAAAAGTCATAGCACCAACTCTCCCTCCTCCTTCACCATCTACCCACAGATAGAGCCATCACTACATCTTGATTCCTCCCACCTGCAGGCTTGCTCACATTGTTTAATGGGACCCTAAAAATGCCATTGAAAGCCCTGGGGGGCCTAAAGCTGCACAGAGTAGATGATAGTCACCTTCATTGTGTGTGCACAGAGTTTATGTGTGTCCCAGTCAGGCCATCAGAGATAGGGGCTGTGAGTGTATCTTTTTGAAAACATTAAACTTATTATAAGGAACAGTTAGACTTTTGGGGAAAGATTGACTCTCAGAGTTATACCATATTGATAGCATTGTCACGTATGTAAGCTGACTGTGAACTTTAAGACAACAAGCAGTAAGCGTAGCTTAGCATAAAGAC